ACTTGAAATTGCTTGAACTGTTTTCACCTTCAAAATTCGTTTTAAGGTCATCTCAAAAAATCCGCAATAATTTCCAAAATCCTTTGGCATACACATTATTTGATATATTATCTACAATCTCTACAATTAGCTTTTTTTAATTTTTCGTGGTTATCGAATAAAATATGCTTTCCACGGATCCAAGCTTGATAAGCATGCAAATATGCAACCACCAACACATTTAATTGTTTTGGTGGTTGCGAACATGATTGTTGAATTTAAAAAAAAAGGCTGAATATCAAAAAACCAAAATAAGAAATTATAGATAATCGATCAAATAATGTTTATGCCAAATTTGAGCCAATTCTGATGTGCCGTTTTTTTAAAGACCTTCAAACAAGTTTCGAAAAATCAACCAATCACAGTTTAAACATGGCGGCCATTAACGCGGCCTTAAATAAATAAATTCTGCACACGATAAACACCTCCAGGGTTATTGACTTACAAACCGTAGGCCCGCTGCCAAAAAGTGCAACGATATTGTATTTATAACATATGCCCTCTGAGGTTTTGATAATTATGCAATGCTCGTCAACGTACAAGCAAAATTAGCGAGTTACCGCGGGACTTTCCCTGAAGAAGTTATTTGTTTATTGTGCAAAAAAAGAAACGAGCAGCTTTGGAATAATATAGTATAACGTATGCCGAGCATACCATGAATAAAAATCCATCGGAAATAGGAAAACGATCGGCAATTGGTGTACGTGAAATCTCGGCGTTCGCCCTGATAATTCCCCATTTTTGAATAATATGGCCGATCCAGATGGACAAGACGTATCCTGGATTGGAGACAACGATTACATTAAATAAAATTTCGGGAGACGGTGGTTGCATGATATGAGGGAAAAGACAGGAAGTGGCAATAGCTAGCCCAAAAAAGCTAGAAGAAGCCTATGTCCAGGAGTAATTTCTTACTTGAACCACATTTTGTGGAGCAACTAGCTTCGCACTTATATTTGTCTCTGTTATCATATCGCCATGTCCTGGTTTACGTTCTTATCTATATTCAAAGTTTCGTATTAATACAGGATGTTTAACTGCTTTACTGAAGTAAACTAAACTGCTGGAACTTCGATACGCATAAGGAAATTTTTGGCCTATTTTTGAAGTCAAATATCTCAGAAAGTATAAGAGATATTTGATTACGGTTTGAAGCATATTGGGGCGCATTGCTTGGAGTTCAAGGTGTATGGTATCGTGCTGATAAACAGAAACGTTATCTTCAACATACAGGGTGGACAATAAAACAGTGCAAAGTTTGACAAATTTCAGGACGTCGCCATTTCTTTTCAAACATACTCCTGCTTTTTTTCTGGGTTTTAGAAGAATCAGTAGTTCAATGGTAAAAAACAACTTGAAGGGTTTTTGAATAAATCTCGTAGTTTTGCAGAAATTTCAGTTTAACTGAAAAACGACTTTCATCACCCTGATTGTTTGTCTCAGTTACTCAAAACAATTTTCTTCATCACTGTTAGTTCAACGTTTTCGTCTTTTTTTGTTTTAAGATTTTATACAGGGTGAAAAAAATAAATAAATTTTTAATACTAATTATTGGGAGGTCCATAAAGATAATTGCGCCTCAGAGTAACTGAAGATAGCACGTAACATGAACTGCAATTTATAGGATAGGGGGCACAAGTTTTCTTTGTTAATTGATATGGCACCAATCTTTCTCTGCTTTATTGTATAACCATTCTGAGAGCAAAATATGATTATATTATATTTCTTAGGTGGAAAAGCTATCCTGTTCTCGAGACACCGAGATATTTGGTGAAATATTAGCACGTACCACGACATACATAAGGAGGCTACTTATACAGGGGTGGTAAAAAATACCGGAGCGGAGTGAATCTCTTCAAACCCACTTATGCTGCTTCCCCAGATTTCGTTATCTGGAGGTTTCTGGGCAAACGAATTGGACAATGATGTAGGGTAAAGCTGGTAGATCTGACAGCAGCGCCGATATCATTGAATCATTTAATTTTGTATGTCCGGAATCTTCCAGATAAAGAAATTTGAGCAGTTTTTTTTAAGCGGGTTTGAAAGAGATTCAACTGTTCTGGTACTTTTTACCACCCCTGTATAAATGGTCCCCCTGATGACATGGTACGTGCTAATAATTCACCAAATATCTCGGCGTCTCGAGAACAGAATAGCTTTTTCACGTAGGAAACATAATATAATCATATTTTGCTCCTAAAATGGTTATACGATAGGCAATTTATCGCGAGGATAATCAAACATAATCTGATTATGCTGAGTTATTTGATACGTCAATTGTGTCATACTTCCCTTACCCCCTCTCCGTCCAATTCTGGGCCTGCAAATGATGTTACTATCATCAGCTTATAGTATTGACGTCACCTGCAGACCTCTATGGAATGCTTGCGATTCAGGCTGAGCTAGGGAGTTAATTTTTTCGTCGATTTTAAATGTAGAGAAGGTGATTTTCGGTCTGTTCTCACAGAAGAAATTAAGTGTTCTTGATCCCCGAGTATCCCAGAATTTGATGGTAGGGGAGTTAGGAGAGCATGACACAATTGACAAATCACATAATCCAGCATAGCATAATCGATTATACTTGATTATCCTCGCGAAAAATAGCCTAATAAAGCAGAGAAAGGTTGGTACCATATCAATTGACAAAGAGGATGTGCCCCCTATAAATCGCAGTAGGTACAGTCATGAGCACAAAAAGTGGGACACCCGACTGACAGGTCTTGTCATTTTTCGCTATTTTGCGTAAATTAGTCTTTTCTCTACAATCGATTTTTTGTCAAATATGACAATCCCTCTCATTGCCGTAGGTATAGCTGGTGAGCCCGTTTTACAATAGGAAAAAACGGGTGTCCCACTTTTTGTGCTCACGACTGTATATGTTACGTGTTTGGACGCCTACTATCTCTAGTTACTCAGAGGGGCAATTGTCTTCACGGACCATCCAATAATTAGTATCAAAAACGTACTTTTTTTTCACCCTGTATGAAATCTTTTTGAAACAATAAAAGACGAAAACGTTGAATCAACAATAATGAAGAACATTGTTTCCTATAACTGAGACAAAGAATCAGGGTGGTGAAAGTCATTTTTCTGGTAAACTGAAATTTCTGCAAAACTACGAGATTTATTCAAAAACCCTTCAAGTTGTTTTTACCATTGAACTATTGATTCTTCCTAAACCCAGAAAGAAAGCAGGAGTATGTTTGAAAAGAAATGGCGACGCCCTGAAATTTGACAAACTTTGCACTGTTTTATTGTCCACCCTGTATGTTGACGATAACGGTACTGTTTATCAGCACGATACAATATACCTTGAACACCAAACAATGCGCCCCAATATGCTTCAAACCGCAATCAAATATCTCTTATACTTTCTGAGAAATTGGACTTCAAAAATAGGCAAAAAAATTCTTTATGCGTATCGAAGTTCCAGCAGTTTAGTTCTAAAATGGAAGATAAAAATTGTGATTATATGAGATTTATTGAAAAAATAAATAAAAAAAATACAAAGCAGGTATTGTATATAATTTCGAGTTAATTTTATTTTTATTTCAAGATTATAATTATTCTTAAGCTAAATAACAAAACATGTATGAAATTGAATACAAATAATTTCTTCGGAAGTATAATATTTACTGAAATCAATATTTAAAATTTGACAAAAAAATACACACATGCAAATTGAAAAAAGGTATGTCTACTACTTCATTAAAAATTAGAGATGAAACGGATACTTGTTTGGCCGGAGTTACTGGGAGTTGCGATGCCGGATATCCGGCCCAACTTCTCATCGCACAGGCGCACGAACGCGATCGGATCGATTCGGACAGTTTCGGGTGTCAGCGGCTAATTATTACTTATAAGCCACTTTGTTATTTTTCTGAAGAGAGTTGATGGGTTTGGAATCCAAAATAAAAAGAAGCTACTTTTTTGAACTTCAAAGAAGTAGTTTCTATTTATTTTGTATTCCAAACCCATCAATTCTCTATACAAAGAAATATGTCTTACATCGTTTTGAAAAACTCTACATTTTGTTATTACGTATTTACCACACAAAAATGTATGTATTAACTTTTATTTTTGGAAATTGTGTCGAAGTTTTTGAGTATCCGGTATACGGCCGGATAATGAGTTACTATCCTGCATCCAGCTGGATATTAAATTTAGGCCTGATACCGGATATCCGTTTCATCTCTATTAAAAATATATGCTTAGATCTAAACCTTAAACATAAACTATGACATAACCATGGCAAAGCCCAAGACGCAATTTCCATTTCGATCCAGTGTGATGCAATTATAAGACCATAAGTGTCACTGAATCGACCAGCAAAAAAGTCGCATGATAAACTTTAGCTCAAAAAAAAAAGTAAATAAAAAGCAATATTGAAAGTTTGGGTAAGTTATGGTTGGTTACATTACCAGGTTACATGGAACTTCGAAGTATTCTCCTGAGTTCCCCTAAGTCAAATTTAATTGGTTATCATGACAGCTGATTTTAGTGCGAAGTTGCAGCTTCTGGATAAAGGGGTAATTATTCATTTCCTAAAGAGTCGTTACAGAAACGTGGTAATTTAATTACCAGTTGCAGTTTTGTTCTATAATCTATTTAATCTATAACTGCATTAATATATTAACTGCTCCACAGGAGTTAAGGATATAATATATTTTGTGAAAAACTACATTATTACCAAATACAGAAGCCAATTTTTCTTTTCATTGTTTCTTTTCTTTTAAGTTTTTCAAAAAAAAATTATCCACATAAAAAGTATATAGGTATTTTGTTTTTTTTTTCAAAAAAGAAAGTTTCATATCCCTAACTATATAGAGATTTTTCTCTGTCTTATTCTTTGCCATAGTCATCAATTTCTTGTATCTACATATTTATTTTACCTATTTTTAAAATTATATTTCAATAAAACAAAAATAGGTAAGTGAAAAACTACCAATTTAAGTTATTCTTCATTCGATGTCTTCTACATCGGATTCATGACTGTTTGACCTCTTCGTCCTAGTTTTCCTAGGTTTCCCATAGGAAATATGAACCTTTCTCGATTCCATAGGACATTCGCCTTTGAAAGTCGGTTCGTGATTATGATCGCTACGTTTAATAACCACATGATTATGGAAAGTCACTATGCGGGCTTTGCATTTGCTTTTTTCTTTGGATACGCAACACCAGCACATATTTGTTGGGGTAGTTTGACGTTCGACTTTGTATTCGTATTGATCAAGAACCATGATTGGTCGTTTCTGGCCTTTTCTGAAATATACGATGCCTAAAAACGAGTTTATTGAAATCTTTGATTTGCAAATATTTTTCATGCAATAATAAATAAGCAAAATTATCACTTAACTATAGATATATACTGATTAAAAAACAAACCTAATAATAATTATTTAGGTACAAATATTATACCTACATGTATATATATAAATTCTGAAACAAAATAAAGATAACGAAAAAACAGACGAAGAAGAGTAAATAATACATATTCTCATTTGATTATACTTTTCGACAGAGCGCTTTTAATAATTATAATATATCGCATATGGGATTTTCTTATTTATTTTTAAGTAAATTTAGAGTTCAGGAACATTTATTGCTTCAAGTATAGTGCAAAACGTCGTCGAAGACTTTTTTTTGATACCTAGCAAATGTACAAAAATTTCGAAATGTTGTTTTTATATGAAAATGAGGGTTAATTTTCCTCGCTTTTCCATCCACAGACGCGTTGCGATCTATCAGATCTCATTAGTGTGGCTAAGAAAGCAAAGAAAACTAGCCCAAGTAAGATGGGGGACTTTTCTTCAAATGTCTATGGATGGAAAAGCGAGGAAAATTAACCCACATTTTCACATTCCGTGTCTATATAAGAAAAATTTGTTTTTCTTATTTGGGAGTACCCCAACAAACTGATTTTTGGTCGGCTCATCAACGATCTGTGCTACTACAGTGCTGTATACAAGTTTTAGATGGCGCCACGATCCCTCTTAACTTTTTGTTTTCATAATTTCGAACTTAGTTTTAAAATGTCTCAAGTCTGTTCATGCAAAATTACATTCGTGTAAGTTAAATATAAAAAAAAAAAATCCCATACGATGCCGACTTCAGTGGTGCCACTGTATACAATAAATATTGCGAAGCAGTAAATTAAAAATCTGAGTAACTGTAGATACTCAAAATAACCCCACAGTTCCTTATTTGTAAAAGTAATCATCACAGTTAACAAAAATCACAACCCCTTATCTATTTGTATTCAACCGCCTAGGATGATCATATAACAGAGTAACATATCGCGGAAATAATTTTTCATAGTCTCCGTTGAAAGTAGGCAAATGGTTATGTTCGAAATTGGTTATATGAATTTGTTGTCCTTCCGATAATAATCTCGATTTACATCGAAGTTTTTCTTTAGTCCTGCAACACCATCTAGTTTTAGTTGGAGTTGTTCTCTCGATTCTGTATTCGAAACTTCGCAGCATTAAAATTGGGTGTTTTGTAGCTTTACTAAAGTAGACCAGTTCTAAAACAAAAAATGTTATGATATAACAGGGTTCAAGTCAATAAATACGCCACAGCTATTTCAAACGCCAGTTGCTCGAAGTTTTAGCAATCACAAGAAGAACTAGCAAGGAAAGAGGCTATCGTCTATTCCGCTGGATTGACAATATCGGGAGATTATGAAAGCCATTTATGACCTCAGCAACTGACCTATTATTAAGACGTTTGACAGCAACTTTGAAGACTTTTAGAAAATTATTATATGTGTTTAAGTTGTTAACTTAAGAGCATAAAACTGAAAAATAGAAAACACATTAAAAATAGGTTATCAGAAGTAGAAAAGCCGCTCGCATATTTTTTATATCCAAGGAAAGCAGATTTACCACATATTAACCACATTTGTCAAAAATCCTTAATACAATATAAAAGACCTTGAAGACATAAACAAGTTAGATAATAATAATTAGGTGACTTCTCAGGCTATGGATCATATTCTAAGGCCACTTGCGGACACTTCACTATCCTTCTGCCAAATTCATAAATCATCATGATGTCCAGGAAAAGGAGAATTGGGAAAGGAGAAGTGGAAAATACAATGGAAGATTTCATACAAACAAAAAATTCCATTACTGTGTTACTGGGCATAATAGATGTGCCTAGCAGCGCGCGAATCCACAAAATCCTGTCAAAAGAGCGTGCGCAGAAGTTAGGGTTGATAAAATGCCTAGATGGATCCTACACACAATCTAGAAAAGAAACGTTAGATATTCTTGCCGAGAACCACTTCCCAGAAAGTCTGCTGATTAATGACCTCCAGGATGCCCAACACAGTGATCGGATTAAACGACCTGGAAGAGAAGACTGGTTGACGGCCAACAAAATATTTACAGCGGCGGCCTGAAAGGGGACGGTCCTATCATTCCACCTTTTTAAATCGTTTGGGGAAGACGACATCTCCCCTGTTCTGCTACAGAACGGACTTGGAATTCTGCTACCATTCCTAATAAGACTCTTCAGAGCCAGTCTGGTGTGGAACCATATAGTTCAAGTCAAGAGCCCAGAGTCGCCAGACACAAGTTATTTTCTAAAGGACAGAATATGTGGGATTGAGTAGCACTTACTATGAACGTATGTATACCCGCTAAGATGGGTAGACAGCCAATTTACCGACACCAGGACTGGGATCACGACAAGTAGAATTCAACTTTCATGACGTCACCCCCGACCTATTTATCGCATACAGTCATTGCGTACAGTAGAGATGATGATGAGGGTTGCTAGGCAACCTGACGTCATGAAAGTAGATTTCTAGTAGAATTTTACTTGTCGTGATCCGAGCCCAGGTGCGAAAGATGAAAAAAAATGAGACTCACTTACCTTCAATTCTGATGGTTAATTTTTATATATGTTTTATATGACATTAGTACAAACCAATATTTAACACTGCCAGACACCTCCCGTCGGCCAGAGCTTCCACCAGAGGCTTTAAAGCACGCAAAAAAATAATTCGATACAACTTTTTTTCTAACGCTTGATTTTTATATGTGTTATTGGGAGACAATTTCATTACTACGTGTGATCAGCCAGACCAATCGCATCGGCCAAACATCCCCCCAGACGCAATACATTTTTTCCAAGAATGTGAGCGCGAGGGTACTATGCATGCGTTTAAGAGTGAGCGAGATATCTATGTCAACTGATTTCCCCCTCTTAAACTTACAGTCTGCTCCAGGACTCGGCTAGAGGTGTGCGAAAGTGCAAAATTTCGACCATCGATAAACTATCGATAGTTTTGAAAAGTACCTATATAAAATCTGTTTTTTTTTTAAGATAAAAGTCAAAATGACATTATGTTGGCAATACAATGTAAAATTGTCATTGCTTTCAAATTTTTTATGTAGAAAAGGCTTGTGTTGCCAACTTAGTTACTAAATTTTTGACTTGGGGAATTATCTTTAAAAAAAAAACAGACTTTATATAAAGATCTTTTCAAATGATCCCTAAATTAGATGTATTGCCACTGGTCTTGTATTTTTTCGGCACTTGTAACATGAAGCAAAATCACTTTCAGCTTCATCTTTATCAAAATATTGCCATACAAAAGAATTGGATTTGTCCATTCTCGAATCTTGAAGGATAAAACAAAAGCTCGGAATGGCTCTAAAAAGCTTAACTGGCAGTCAAAAAATGAATGATATCATTCACAGATATGGACATTGTATTAGTTACTCAGGAGTTGTATAACTGGAGACAGAAGTATTGTTACCCGCAAACCACGATTGAAAAGTAATTAATAAACTTTGAGGGAGACTGGGTAACTAAAACAAAAAAATAAAAAGAGAGGGTTGATTGGTGGCTGAAATCTAGAAACGGGACTTCGTGTGAAGGATTGCCGACTAGCTTCCAATGCGGAGACTGCGGAGAGGGGTGTGGATCAATTAAATAATTAAATATAGAGCGCCACCTGCTTTCCCTGCAGTACACGAAGTCAACCGATATAACGAAAGCAGGAAACTTCTACGGACCTATAGCAGCACAACCTGAAATATAAAAGTAAACAAGAAGGAAGGACAGAAGTGAAACGCTTTGCTACAATCAGGTACGGGTTTTTAGCTAGAACCAGAACATGTTTGACTCTAGAGCAGGTTCGGAGTGGGTTTTCCGAACGCCCTGGAACACTGAAAATTATTAACACTGGAACCAGAACAAGAACAAAATAAATCGACTAGGAGTACCTAACCTTACGTTCTAAAAATAGTATTTACAATAACTTAACTCAACTTGAGTCCCCAAATAAAGAAGTAAAGAGTATTGTATAACACTTATAACAGCAATAATACCTGAAATATAAATTAATAGACAAGCTTACTAAATGCAGTACCTTCGTTAATGGCAATTTAACCCGTGTACAACTATTTTCCTGTATTCGGTGCAGCATATATTTATGGGATATTAGAGAGATATAGATCATTAATTATTAAAGTTGAAGTGACAATACGTAACCTGAAGGGCAAGTTGAGACAGAGAAAATATCTCTATTCGTTACAGAGTCCCAGCCCTGAAGGATTGAATTATTATCTTCCAGTGTTTCCGATGGCCTGAGACTGGATCAGGGTCGCAACAAGAAGCAACTGGCCCTGGGCACTGGAGTTCAGTAACTAGAAGTCACTAAAGCTTCCAATTGTCTAGCGGAGGCTGAAGAAAGGAGGTACGACTTGAAATATACAGTAAGCTTAACGTTTAACTCTTTACTCAAAGTTAAAGACTAAAGCGTGACGAATAAATAAGGCCTGAAACAAATGGACGTTATGAGACTGGGCGTGGAGCGATAGGTAGGTATGTCCAATATTCGGAATTTAACCATATAATTAATAGAAAACTATGGTTTAACATAGGCAATAGAGAAACACAGAGAATACTAATAAGAAAAACCACTTACCAAAATACTTTGGCCTTTAGGAACAAACAATTGATCACGTTACTCTTTTTCGACTCACAAAGAAATCCGCGCAAGGCGCTTTGGTGCTAAAATAACGGATTACCCACCCTAGATCTATGAACGAAAACTGACAACTCAGAAATCGGCAAAATGTGCCTGAGGAATTTTCCCGAACACTTAATCGTGGAAAGTCCTCGACCTGAATGACCTCTGCTTGTCCCTTCAATGTCCTTTAAAAAGGTTGTGTCAAAACTCCAAGGTGAAGGGTTCTGGGGAATTTTAATGGTAGTTGGGGCA